ACGTTTAAAACACAATCTATACTTACATAGTACTATTAAATGTAGCAACATTTAGAGTAACACTACGCAGCGTGTTTATGATGCACATTAAAAGCGATTCCTGGTGCTTTTTCGATTTAGTTTTCTTTTTTTCCATTTTTTTTCATTGGATGTATCTTTCTCTTTGGGACTTTACATTGACAGATTCACGGTCGGCGTGATTTCTCTTTTAATTTCATTCTCGCAAACGCTCTCCCAAGTTCGCAAAGTTCTTCCCAGTGTCGGTAAACTCGTTTAACTTCCCAAATTATTTTTTCTTTCTTATATACAAAGCGTACAAATAACTTTTTAGCACTTTCGCTGGGGAAAATGTCCGTGAATGATTACCAAACCTCGATCAAACGCATTTGTCAGCGAAAGTGTTAAACACCTTCTAACATATCTTCTCCGAGGGATCGATTGATAAAATACTTTCTCGCGTCGACACTCAGAGTGTCTCGTATAAAAGAAGGCGCGCACTAAATTAAAAAAGCAATTGGTAAAAATTGGATTTTGCGTTCGCGTGGGCGATGAAGGGTACGATGAACGATGGAGAGGCAGAGAAAAGGAATGGAAGAAGATGTAGGAGTGAAGGGTTTAGGCTGCTCAACGATCTCATGTTTCGTTACCTCTGTAACTATTTACGCTGTCATTTAATCTAATCAGGTTACATCTTCGTTTATGTATATTTATTTACAGGAACACAGTGAACGTTGCCGGTCACAACATCAACCACGTTACTGGCACGGCGCGGAGCAAACTTTCATCAATCTTGTCACTCATTTTGGTAATAATCAACAACAGTAACCGCGTTCGCGTAAGGAGAATCTTTGGTTTTGTGGCCGGCCTATGAGATACTTACGGGAACATAATTAATTATTGTTAATCTCCTTAACGCTATAGTAATTCAACTTCCCTTTTCACGCTTGCACGTGTTCTTGTCGTTTTCTTAGAAACCTCCTGCCTCTTCGTCGACTAGAGTCGAGATTCAGCGAACAAAACAGAAAGTACACTGATTCGTTTGCGTCAATTTTTACGTTCCTCAACGATCTTCGTAGATCGTGAGATGTCACCGAAAATAAATAATAAGATATGGCTAGGAAAGATCCTAAGAGAACTCAATACATGTAAGTTTAGCGAGAGACGTATGTATGTATGTATATATATATGTGTGTGTGTGTATGTACTCGCAAGTTGCTCTACGTTCGCCTAGGGGGTGGCCATTGATTATCGAAATAACCAGCTGACAGAGTCAGTTTACGCATCCTCTACTCTATCAGGTTCGTCCCTTTGATCGTGAACTTTCGATATCGGCTAACAATAAGGAAGGGATGCCCTATCATCGATTTTATCATTGCATTTCTCTCTTGATTCGTATGCTTACATGTATGTCTCTTGCATATGTATACATGATTCTGCGTATGCCTATTATTGCCTAGGGCAGTGCTCGTGTATGTATGGGACACGTACTCATTTGGCACTTTTTATTATGCGATTATTTACAGTTTACAGAGGTCCACGCGCGAAAATCGTAGATATGAAGAAATTCTGGTGATCGATACGAACGACCCACATGCGTATGTATCCTTGCCATGTATTTATAATGTTTATACAATGAACTTGGAACTGAAATTTATACATTGAGCTATTTACAATTCCCTTACAGCTTACGCGCCGCATCTCTCATTCGTATCGATGAACAAAACATGTACGTCCTCCTCTCACACACTTTTCATTTGGTCTCCCAGAAACAATGATCTTCTCTCGTTTTTTTCTCGAAGACTTCCGATTCGTAAATATTACATATTACCTATAAATATTCGTTCGCCTCCTGTTGAGCATCGAAAGTGTCGAGACGCGGTCCGTACGTAAAACGTGTGTACGATATACATATGTATAATGATACATTAAAGTATAAGCAATAATACTTTCAACTTGTTTCACAATTTACTTATCGATGGATCGATGCAATCACGGTTGTAGTCGGGATATCTTCCTAAATTTTATGTACCTATACGTGGGGAGCCGCGTTGCAGTTGTGTATGAGGTAAAGCTCATTATCTTTTCACACTGACGCGACGTGCAACTTCTATTCTTTTAGCGTATCTGTAAAATCTTGTATGCAACGTATATGTATACTCTTTTTGTTTCTCATTAACGCTTTCAATACCAAAGCTGACCATAGTCGGTATTCACGTAACGATCTATGGACACCAGCGCCGACGATATTCGTCATGAATAGAACGAATTACAAATGTACATAATTGTATCTGTAAACTGGAAACCTGTGGGAGGGACAGCGTACTGACAAACGCGTATCTGGTAAAGAAAGGGTTAATTTGTTTTCGATAATAATCTCGAAATAAAAATAACGTAACAATAAATGAAGTAACAATAAATGAATTGACTTCCAAGTTTCCTTTAACAGCAAAGTATATTTTTATCGCGGAAGTAACTAAAATCGAATTTTAACTTCTCTGGAAAATTTGAACGCCGTTAGAAGATCCCGAGGTTTTAAATAACTACACGATTATTCTCTGATATACTTATTTTGACTCTCTCTCGCCTCTTTCTCTGCCCCCCTTTCTCTCTCTGTTAGTTGAAGAAACTCGAAACATTCCTGCGGAAATCGGCGGATGCGATTGTAAAAGCTGCCTAAAAGCTCCCGGGGATCAACATGACTGATACGGCCATGAAATAAATTCGCCAAGTTCGCGGGAAACTTGGTTGGCCCCGCGTCGATGAAGTTCTCGACTCGTAAGTCTCGATTTTCCGGTGTACCACCTTTTACATCGACAGTAAGATGAAGCGGCAATCTTTCGTCCTTAAATCAAACTTTCCGATTGGACGGAACCGGCTCCTTCGGCTAAACTTAAATATGGACATAGATCTACTAGGATTTCCATTATCCTGATACAACGGACGTTGATAAACGTTCGCAATGTGCATCCCGCTCCACCTAAGATTTTTACTTCGAAGAGTAAACAAGAGAATGAAAGCGATTTGGCGTAGATGGATATCGGCTATTGAATTCACCTTTATTAATCTTGAAGTTCGCTCGTCTCGAACCGAACAAAATTCAATAATGTAATTGTTAGAAGTGGATATTTAATACTGCGGAACAAAAGCGCATTAAGCTGCGCGGCGGTCAAGATTTATCGCGTTATTTCGCGATAGTTGCATAGCGGCTTGGGGAGAACGAGTTGAGCTAGTTTTGTCCTAGCAATCTGGCAATTACGAGGTGCTGAGACGGGCGTAAAAGTGTCGGCCCGTGGGCCGGTGACACCCCTACCTCCTCATAGCTCAGGGCTAAATAGGTGTTCCTTGGTGGTCGGTAGCAGGAGTGGTAAATCGGTACGTCGGACAATGTTTGGCCAGGTACGTGCTGCGCTAAGCTCACTGTGATAACCGACAATACTTTCGCGGCCGTCACCCTATTATGAATGGGTCGTGTTAAACGAGGCGGGAAAAGCTTGCAAGTACATCGCAAAGTGATGATACAGACTGTGTATAACAGGATCTCTCCACCCACGATGTGCCATCCATTCTCTCTCTTTCTCTCTGTCCTTCTCCCCTCCTTTCGCTTCTCTCTCTCTCTCCCTGTCTCATACTCATTCTGTCTCGTTTCCACTTTTGTATCTACGCCTCCTGGCCATCGTGTTTGCTAACGGAACTGCCACGCTGCGTCGTGGTCGCGATTCTCGTTGCGATCAATGCCTACAATTTTACGATGCACTTGCAATCTTTCCGGGTGTACGAAAATCGACAGGGATACAGTTTCGAAACATGTTTCTCATTTAACTGACTGCTGCTTTCTTTCTTCTCTCCGAATGAGTCGGATATTCTTTCGAATCTGATTTTGAGATTTAATTCATTTAAAAATTCAATTTTCCAATAAAAATTCTCAATTGATTTCATAAAGAATTAATCATGGTAGTTAGTTAAAATTTTTTGTTGAACATCAATTTTGCGCGGTACCCGAAATCAATTTATGTACTTGATGAGGGTGACATAACCGGTTAATCAATTTGATTGGGGAATAAGGGGGATCAGGCATGAAGGAAATCAAAGGGAGAAGCAACAGATTGTACGGCACGTTTCACGAACAATTCTTTCACGATGGTACAATCGCATATCGCGAAAATGGAACCAGTAAGCAAGAAAATCTCGTGGACCGTAACACGTATTATGTAAAGTTGGATCCGCTTCTGACAACCCTAACTCTATCTCCAGCCTCGATCTTATTATATGCATGCTGCAAATACATATATGTACACATATGCGCCAATTTGTCGGATTTCGGTTTGTTGTATTTGTCAGCAGTTGGTACATACTATTATGCTGAGCATGCTTATGCTTATGACCCGTGAAAATTAGTACATGCAAAAGCGCTTGCAAATAACCAGATTATCTATTAAGACAAACTTTTATATTAAAATTTATATTAAATATTAAAACTTTCTGCTTTGATTTTACTCTTTTATTTTTGTAGCAAGCGACCGAATCTAATAGAACGGATAAATCTTTATCGTAGTACAATTTCATGTCATTTAATATTCTTGACGGAACTCGTAAAAATTTCATTCTTCGAGAATAGGCACCACAATGGAAAGACACTTTCGTGGTAAGGATAAATACTTTAGACGTTGGTATGTACAGTGAGAGTAAGTTAAACGTTAAATCTTGAATTTTTATTCTTGTCTCTCGACGGAGACAACCGCATTTACCTTACGCGAAACCAAGTACGGTCGCTTGTTTTACGCTGCTAATTTAATATAGATTAGGCTCTAAACCTGTAGAGTGAATGTTAAGCAGAATACAAAGATACATACGATTCAATACAATTTCGGTTGCCTGTAAATACGTTGAAACCAATGTCGATAATATTTTATGCGATAATATAATATGCATTGTAAATAGAATCAATAAAGTTATTTGTACTCTGATATGTAAATAATTTCCCCGACGTACATAGTTATATGTACACATATGCGCCAATTTGTCGGATTTCGGTTTGTTGTATTTGTCAGCAGTTGGTACATACTATTATGCTGAGCATGCTTATGCTTATGACCCGTGAAAATTAGTACATGCAAAAGCGCTTGCAAATAACCAGATTATCTATTAAAACAAACTTTTATATTAACATTTATATTAAATATTAAAACTTTCTGCTTTGATTTTACTCTTTTATTTTTGTAGCAAGCGACCGAATCTAATAGAACGGATAAATCTTTATCGTAGTACAATTTCATGTCATTTAATATTCTTGACGGAACTCGTAAAAATTTCATTCTTCGAGAATAGGCACCACAATGGAAAGACACTTTCGTGGTAAGGATAAATACTTTAGACGTTGGTATGTACAGTGAGAGTAAGTTAAACGTTAAATCTTGAATTTTTATTCTTGTCTCTCGACGGAGACAACCGCATTTACCTTACGCGAAACCAAGTACGGTCGCTTGTTTTACGCTGCTAATTTAATATAGATTAGGCTCTAAACCTGTAGAGTGAATGTTAAGCAGAATACAAAGATACATACGATTCAATACAATTTCGGTTGCCTGTAAATACGTTGAAACCAATGTCGATAATATTTTATGCGATAATATAATATGCATTGTAAATAGAATCAATAAAGTTATTTGTACTCTGATATGTAAATAATTTCCCCGACGTACATAGTTACGATGTATGCATAAAGTGATCGTAGATACTATATACGACATGCATCGCGTAACATCTGCTTATGATTATAAAACATAATTACCGGATGAAGGTCGTCATAAATCGTGTGTACCTACCCCACGTAATTTATGCGATACCGTACACAACCTGAAAGTATACTTAAGCTGAAGTGCGAATATAATTAAAAAATTTATAGTTCGATTTACGACGTGAAAGACTTGAAAGCGTCCAGCAGGTACTAGTTCAGACACGCCCGTAGTTTACGAGATTTAATCCGTACAATGAGAGATTGGTTGGCAAAAGCCTGAAGCATTCAAATTTGTCAGAGAAATAACGTCAAATATTGTCGTGTCGAGTAGCTCGGTTAATGGGATAGCGTTCATTTTTGCAGAGAGAATTGCATTGCGCGATACCTCGCGCACAATTCTCTGTTTTCCTCTTTATTTTTCTGTAATTCAGCGTACCGGAAGGCATGATCCACGAGCGGCCATTAGTCCCCTTGCGTTGTTGTTCAGCCTGTCGCAATTTTCTGCTTATTAATCGCGCAGCGCGTGTCACGGAAACCGTGCGTGATGTCTGCTTTGCACGTGGCCACGCGGACGTGCGCACGGATAAACGGGCGTCCCTCATGATCGCGTGCGATTCTGGTTTATTTCACGTCGTGGAATGCATGTTCGGATGGTTTCGACGAACGCGGTTATCTCGTCGAACCTGTCTATCGAAAGAACGCGAGCGTTCGTGACGTGGTGAATAACAGGAAATTTAACAGCAGCCGTGGTATATAATCGACAATTAATCACGGCGTGCAAAAAATGATATACCGGGGATAAGGTACCAGTTGAGAACAAGCAGAGGCTTAACTGCGCTTGGGATCTGGGTTAAGTTTGCGTTATCCGTAATAGCTACGAGCACTCGATATCATCTACTTAAGAGGTGATTTACATAATCCGGACTCTTTGTCTCGTTGAGGTTTTGTATCTTACGGAAATCCCTGTAGCTCGCTTGCCAGATCCTAGACCGTCTTAAACTTAAATGATCTTCAATTGATTCCTCTCATATGTCGCATTCACGTTTCGCTTACAAATATTAATCTTGACGATGCGGCATTGCGCGTCGACCAATTGGCACGCCAATCTCCCGTCCCAGCCGCGGGAACAGAATCCGAAATCGTGAATAAAATTCATGTCGGGGATACACCAGGCGTGACACGGCTGGTATCCGTGCACGCATCTAAATAGGTAGGCGTGTGTTCTATCTATAGCCGAGTATGGGTACATGGTTTGGCGAGTACAGGCCGTGGACGCAGGAATACACCCGTGGCGTGTAACGACGTCACCGAGCAGTATCTCTGTTACGCCTGGCTTGTCGTGGACTGTGGCCGCTCACGCATCGCTTAACATAATCCCCCATCCGAGCAGGACTACATAGATTACGGAATGATACCTCTGAAACGCACACAATTATATTGGCGTGAGATATTTCGGCTGGTGCGCGCTGTTTCGTGGTCCGAATCAGACTACCCCTTTCTCTTTCTCGTCGTTTCCGTTTCTATCGTACCCACAGAAAAGCTCGATCCTCCTGGCCCTGACTCATTGACATTTATCAATCGTAGTTAAAGCGATCCTAACTGTTCTTCATGATCATTTAGATATATTTAATAAAATAATGTTGAATCGTTCGTTGATTGTACCAATTCATAGGAGAATTTATTTTTCAAGTGTCTGAGAAAACTCGGTTCTTCTCGAGCGAATAATTTTGTAATATTTCCTAATAAGCATGTAAATAGAGACATCTTGATTAAATTGTTGGCGGAGGAGCAATTACGCAGCGGGATCGTTGAGAGAATTATAATGCAGCCGTTGAGTCGGTTCGTGATCCGAATTCGAATGAGTTTATCGTTCGTCCGGGACCAAGTCCTACGGCGGTGCCGTGCTGACGATGAAAGATAAATCTAAAACCTTAGCTCTAATTCGCGATTTCATTTAAATGCTAATCCCAAAATAGAGATCGACCTCCGACCGTTGAACGGTCTCCGCTCCCCGGATCACTCCCGATGAATCTTGCCCGAGTGTACCTATCTAGTATGACCTCGCACGCTTTATCTTTCGTTTTCGTACATTAAACAAGAAATCACGTTCTTTCTACTTCGCCGTTCTATCCTCGTCCTCTTGCCTCTTTTTATACTGACCTGTTCGAAGGATCTTTATTCGAGGATTCGAGGAAGATACTGGTATCGGTGTCGGTTCCCACCGATAAAAGGGAACTTTCCAATCTCTCGAAGCGAGCCAACTTCCCAGTTGGCAAGACCAAACGATACGTACTCTATCGAAGCCCTTTTCGCGCGATCGAAACTTTTCATACTGGCTTCCCTGAGCCGCTTGCGTGACCCACGCGACGCGACCAACCGAGTTATCCAGACGAGACACACAGAAATGGTTTCTGCCTACCGATTTGCTCGTGGAATTATTACCTCACTGTACCGCTAATTCTGTTCTACCGTACTCCCGTCACGCGTTTCCCACTTCCTAGCACACCCTGTTTTCGCTGTAACACCGACAGTTTCAAATCGTTCAGTTGCATTGTTCCGAGTTAGCAAAATTGAAACGTGTGCGGAGGTAAAAGAGCTTTCGGTTTTTACGGCATCGTCGTCGGCGGATTCCGGAAACCAACGAACGAGACAACGAAACGGAATACGTATACCCGGTTCGCAACCGACCAGGAGCGACCAAAACCTGGCAAGCGAATGGCATCTTGTGACCGAGATAATAAAACGCTTGAAATTTTAACCACCGAACGACGATATTTAATTATCGAACCCCGTGAAATTGAATTACTAATAAAACACGATCCAGGTATTAATATTTGAGTTCCGTTTCAGTCGGATTATAAAATGTTAATTCGAGTTTTAATTGACATTTCCGGAATCGATGCTCTTCGATTAACGAGAAAAATTTTTCTGCACTCGCATTACCTGAAGCAGTGCATAATATCTGATTCAGCCTGATCGTATTCTCTGTGTCATTTGATATCTTTTTTCCATAATTAGTTTCCGCGGTGTGCAGTGTATTTTAATTTAAAGAAATCCTCTCCTTTTCTTGTTTCTCATTATAACGTTATCGTACGATACGTAGTACGGTCTAGGTTACGCTACGCTAGGTATCGTGAAACGCATTTACGCGTCACGTGTCGATTATACGATCAGTAATGGAAAGTTTCGTAATTAGAGGGAGAGTACGATGATTAATACTCTCACGCGGCTGGAAATCATAGTAATTTCGGTCTTTGAGAGAGCATCGACCCTCGCGCCCGGGCACGGAAACGGGTGTATGCACATTCCCGTGTTACGTATAATCGGTGGAATGTGAAAATCAGTAGAATCTGGCCGCGTAATCACGCTTTTGTTGCGTTAAAATTAGAAACGGTTTGTCCGTATCTCATTTCAATTTCCACCGTTCGTATGCCGTTCATGCGGTCGGTTATGAATTTTTAACGTGTACGTATTTCAATATACAATACAAATCGGCCGTGTGATCCACGCGGATTTGTTTCTGCGGATGAAACGATACCGTACTGCGTTCATTCAAAACATTTTGAAATACCGGATCGAAACGCGGAAGCAAAAAAATTAATTTGAAGCGAAGTTTCGCGTTAATAATCCTGCGATATTAAAGTCATGTAAAACATGCGGAAAAAAATGGAGTGCAAAAATAGGGAATAAACTTCACCCAGGCCAGCGTTACTCGTCAAATATTTTTCATCATCGCACAACGATTCAACGAACACGACCGACTCAATAATAATTGGACTCTCGATGTGACGGCAACGTTACCATTTCAAAAGTATATCGTAGTCACTCTGTGCCGCCGTAGTTTAGTATCATCGTTACGTTTCTGGTAACTCTCGTGATTTCGTGGACACCGCAATGGCGCGACGCGGAACCACCATTTTTCACCTACCGGAGCATTAATCAAATTCCTTCTTTTCCCCGTTGGGTTGTCTACTTGAATGCTTCTACCGCGGTCGCGTTTCAAAAGTCTCCGGGTTTCCGAGATTCCATTCAAAACTCGACTTTTCAACGCAAACTGTGCAGATGTCGCGTGTCCTTAGGGACGTTTCTCTTCGTTTCAGATCACGCCCCATATCTTTTTTCTCTTCGCCCGTTCTTGTCCCGAATCGTGTAATTTTCAAGATTTATCGCGTCCTTTCGATACCGCATTTACCGAGATACAAAGATCGGCTTATCCCCCTTCGCGCGTCGACTCTCGCAGGGAAGGTTGTATTCATTATATCGCATTGCCCTTCGTTTCTCGTATCGCTGCTGTACAATAGATACGCATTTGAAATGAAACATTTTGAAAACTCTCACAAATCCGATTCGCCTTCTTTTGGAACAGGCGAAGAAAGAGGCGCTACTTAACGAGATCGAGTATTTCATACAGAATCAAAAGTTGCACGTCAATCTGTGTTGTATCGTCAACGTAAAAATAAACATCGGAAAGACGTAGATGAGCACCGTAGTAATTGCTCCCTAATTAATTGCGGCGATTAGTCACAGGATCGCGGTGCGGTCAGGGGCGTAACAACGTTGCGCTAATACAGGTAATACATATGGTTCTTGAAACAGAACGCGAGTTTCCCCGATCCATACATCATCACGTTACCACAAATAATTCGCCAAGATAATTCGCTTCACAATAAATATCTGATACTAATTAAGCCCGTAATCCAGCGGTGCCCGACGCGATACATAATTCAATTATCCTAATTAATATTCGATTGCGATTAACAATCTAATTAAAGGTGTACAGCCGGCTGACAAATAATTTCGTCTGTTACCCGCTAATGCGTCCCGTGAACGGTCAAACTGTAATCTCGAATATTAGTCGCACGAGCGTATCGCGCGATCCTCCATTGGATAACCGTGTGACCACATCAGACAAATTCATGTAAACGGGATTCAATTGTAATTGAATGTAGACTGATATAGGAGGCGAAGGCGCATAGCACATTTGTACTGCGCGGCTCCCCAGGGTAGGAGAGTGGATCGAAGAAGGTTAGACGTTCTGGAGGAAACACGGGCTACGTTTTTCGAGGTCCATCTCCTAATTGGCCGTCTGGGGCACGTACGGGGGCATATAGGGCCCCGTGAGTATATATTGCACCGCCACTACCATCAACTGCGGGGCACTCCATCTTATGATATACGCGCTTCCTGAAACAGAAATGCATTTTCCTCGTTACTCTCATCGTGCTACCTGTATATACTATGTACAATATATGTCATGCACTCGCACCACGCCGAGTGTTCTCTCGTCCTCTCACTTTTGTGTCAAGATATAAAAAAATGTAGAAAGCAGCGAATGTGTGACCGTTGTGTGCGTAAATTTTACGCGTTGCGCTTACATGCCATAACCGAAGCTGTGTAAGGTACATAAAAATGATCTGAAAATTTTCCACTGCAAGAACTATTATTCTGTCGATGAATTAAGTGCAATTCAAAGTGACGTATTGGATACAGTGTACAATAGATTCATCTGAAATCAAGTGTAATGATTGCGAATGAATCATCGAACGTAATTAACATTCATACTAAATTAAATTCGTCTATGATTAAATTTGTAATAAAATTGACCTAATTCAATTCATTCAAACTGGTTCTACGGTTACAAAACGTGTTACAGAACATACAGCATAGAAATTTCATGTATGATCGAGAATTGTACGCAGGCCGTTCACGAGTTCGGTAGTGACCGTAATTATTTATTACTATTGTGCGTTATAAAATAATTTCACACCAGCGTCAGAGTTAATATCGCGACACAAAGCCAGAGGAATTATAATTTTGTGGTTAAGCGAATCGCGTTTCGTAGATTACGGTTTGTCATGGGCTTATGCGTGAAATCGGCCCGGGCCGTGTTAATCATGCACCGTAGGTCGCACGACCGGTCTGTCGTTCCTAATTTCCAAAGCTCATTATCGTGGTAATTAGGTGTCAAAATGGTATTCGACGCGTGCGTACGTGCCAATCAACGGCATTTAAAATTTCGCATCTCGCGGAATCTCTTTCACGCACGTAGGTAAACGAATTACAACGCATAGCCGAAAAGTATTTCACGTGTTCCCCATTCCAGTTCGTTCACGGTGCGACGAAACCATCCTGCCACCAAAACAGGAGGAGAACAACGCAAACGCTTTGGCATTTATATTCAAACAAATTTTAAACCTTCCGTTGCTGATGGTGCAAGTTTCGCGCGCTGCGTCGCTTAGAATTTAGAGTAACGCTCATGGCACCGCATTTTCGAGATATCTGCAGCACGGCATACCTGCGTTGGGCAGGTCACAAGTTGCAGATACCGAAAAGAAAACTCGCTTGAGCAAAGAATAGCGATTTGCATTTTTTTCTAAGGTCCCGCGGTTCTTTTTGGATGCACTATTGTTTCTAGAGTCTCCACGATTAATGGCCAACGTCTTATTGGTTTTCCAATAAATACACTGCCTTTCTCCTGTATAGATGTATCGACACGAACGCGTTTCCTCGGGATATAGTTTCTAAATTCTGTTGGGTTCAAGACGCAGATCCGATCCCGAGCGAAATTTTATTTTACTTTCAATGTCGAGTGTCAGGATTTTACGACTCTGCAAGCCGTCTTTCCAAATACGTTTCCAAATACCTTTAAACAACGAAGTCGAGTAAATAGGGTTATAAATAATCCGTGATTGAATTTATATGTATAGTCAGGATACGAGGGAAATAACGACGAATCCATCGATCGGCCGACAATCGCGATAGGTTTGGGTTTCCTTTCGACTCCCTTTGCCAATCGAAATTACAAATCGAGCCGAGATTCCGTTATATTGATGGCAATAAAAAAAAAATTGGCTACTGACTGAAATGACAGTCACGAAATCCTTTTTCTACCAGTTTTTTATTTACATCCTTTGTCTGATTTATTGTCGTTCTCTCCGTCAAGTTCTCCACGCTGTATTTTCTGCATTGCGCCGCACCGATGCGAATCTTCCAGGTCAGCCGCTGGAAGTTTCGCATCTGGAAATATATTGGCCGCTCCATCGCGGCAGATCGTTGGAAAAGGGGAGGATGAAGGAACACCATGGGAGGATGCGAAAAAGGAACGAGAATGAGACGCAGAATAAATTGACGAACCGAGAGGAGGCATGAAGGGACGAAACGAGAAAAGTATCGAGTCGTAGGAAACGGGGTGAAAAAGAGGCGGGAGAAACGAGATAGAAATGTTAGGAGGCGAGTAAACAGGGAAGAGAATAGCGAGGAAAAAGGAGACGAGAGAGAGCATTCTTATCGCGGATACGAAGTGACATAACGGATTACGCGGTATCGCGAGCAATATGTCAGAGGGGGTAAGAGAAGGACGAGGAGTCAAGCATTATATCGCGAAATAAAATGACCCGTGGCTCGTGTCCATGGTCCCCGGAACGATTTGAAATATCGGCGGCTATCGAGTTCGGACGCAGATATACCTCTATTATTGGCATTTTGCTTCCGGTGGAATCATGTATTTTTCATATCGTATGCTGAATATTGGTAATGCAACGCGACCAGCTGGTGGACGACGCGGGACGAGTCATCGAGTAAACTCGTCCAGTAGGAAGATACTATTTTAGCAAAAGGTCCTCGCAATTCATATAAAAATCCATGCTGCTCTTGAATGCTAACAACGATATCGACAATATGAAAAACGAGAGGAACGGCCTTATTTGTTCTCTCGATTATTATCTATCACTGCACCACTTCGTTTCTTCGGTCATCATTTATTTCCAGCTATTCATTTTTCCTATTGAACTGTTAAACTGTACATGGTTTTGTTCGCTCCCAAATATTGGTTATACGGTCTTGTTTGTTCTCGCGATAGGCTGTCATTACGCATGTATATTTTATGAGCGAACTTAACTGAAATTAAATGCTTCAGCCTTCCAGCTTCCAGAGATTTGTACAAATTTTATATTTAAGCTATCAGCGCGCGCAACCGTTGTAAAACAATATTTTCTTATATCCAACACGCTATGTACGGACATTTCGATATTGATATTCCATACGCGTTGCTCTTCATTCAGTTTCACAACGTCGATCGAAGACTCGCGGTGGAATTATTCATGGAAAAAAGTAAATTGGTGCGCGCGCGCGCGCGCCCGCTGGTTGATGCGATTTCGCGTGCCGCTTTTTCGTAGCCGGTGCAAGCTTCGCGCCGCGAAGAATCTCGGTTAATCCGGATGCATGTCGGTGAATTTTAATGTAACGTCTCGATATCGACAGGTGTCGACGTGTCGATCGGTGGAGTCGTGAAATTTTTTGATGACGCTTTCCTACTGACTGTTGCGTCCGCATGGATTTGTTGTCATCTTCTTCCGTCTTCTGTATACGGAGCCATCGTTCCTATCCCCAGAGAGAAAATTTGCCAATTTTAACCGAATCCAAATACACTCTGACACATGGACGTTTAATGTTTATCGCTTTATCGATACGTCGCTCCAGTTTGATGCTCATTTCAAGTTTTAATGTCGTTTAATATCGTATTACCTGTCCTCTATGCGGATAATACTTCTCGCGTCGCACTGATATATGTATGTACTAGGAAAATAAAATTCATGAATTTCATATCGACCAAACTTGTCTTCCATTCTCTTTCTCTCAAGAATCGTAAGTGACGAAATTTTATTCGCCGGTTCGTTCGCCGCGTGGTTCTAATTTTGAACGTCAAAAGGGAAAGGAGCGGAGAAAAAAGTGAATTATCGTGGAGTCATCGATTTTCGTAACGCCACCTGTTCTATTTAGCGATCCGATTTTCTGATCCGTTAAACCGAGACGACTATCCAACTTCCTTATCGCTGATTTAATCAACGATAAGGGAAACTTCAAACACTTTTATCACCCCGTGCCGCTCCACACCGGTTCACTACTTTTCCTTCTTCTTTTTCCCAATGAAAACTTACCGGGGAAGCAAGCCCTTGTTTGTTATGCATTCTTCTAGAGTTTTCGCATCGATAACTTTCCTTTTCTTTGATTCGTATCGAGAGAACAAACGTAAAGTTCTATACATATAAAGAATGTAGGGCAAAACTGAGTACCTGGTTCGCATATTTCCCTAAAATCAAATTTATATCTCGAGGAAGAAGAATTCTAAGAAGAAGCAATAAGAAAAGAGAAAAAGTGGCAGTATGTTGACCAAAGCGTAGTCGAACTTATATAAAAGTTGTCTTCCCGATTTTCTTTAAATATTTAAACGAGTTATATTGAATTAAAAATGCATTCCTAATAATTCTATCACGTTTGAAATATTGTCAGTGCTTGCACGTGGGAATATTTATTCTAAATATACAATATGAAGTTAAAATAATCAGTCAATTTCAAAGAACAATTTTAAGTAAAAATCAGTGAAATCATTTAATAAAAAGTTATTTATGCCTAAAGATGTGCGAAAATAAGAAAGAAATATTATATTTTTTTAAGTTTCATTATAAGAAAGGGGAGAATGCGACGCATGGTGCTAAACAAACTTATGGATCTGATCACAAAGCTGGTTCAAGTGTGTTTAGTCAGTTACTGAAAAATTCGATGTGATCATTGGGAAGGTGAAATAACAAAATTCAAACAATATTTAAGAGAAACTTTTTTCCCAACTTATTATTTAAGAGTGCCTTGGCCTATAATTGTTGAATATGAATCATTTGCGATTAAATGAAATTGTTCTTTCAGACATAACAGGATATTTAGATTACACGTTTAGTTGTCAAGTAACGCGGCACACGCGTTTATCGGTTATTTCGTTTAAAAAACGGCGAGGCGTAAGCTGGTTCTTCACCCTCGTAGCACGTCGCAGGGGTAGAGGACCGTGCGATGAGCTTACAGTGGTGATCGTATCGAGACATAAGCCGGCCTGATTTACGATCTACGTACCCGGGAAAATTTACGTCGTACATTTCCAAACCCCGTGGGAAGGGGTTGCAATTTATATTTATTGCAGCAACGGTCGTGTACGCACGCTGAATGTCATAACGTAACGCGAACATTTTGTAAATCAACTGCGTGTCGCCTAATGGAAAAAAATGTATTTTTTTTTTCCTTCCACTTTCTTTTTCTTTATTATTTTTCCTCGCTTAGCTATCAGCTTTAAGAGACAAGATGAGGCTAGTTATAACGTTATAAGTCGACGCGCCGGAGAAACGAGGTCGGAGGAAATA